CTCCCAGTAGAGGGCAACGTTGTATCCCATGCTGAATTTTTTGCATCTCTTTCAAACTGCAAACCATGAGGTGAAAATCTATTTAGAATGAGCTTCTCATGCAAGTTTTGACATTGTACTGACATCTCTTTAGGCATGCCCATACATCTTCATAAAGTTGCATATGACATCACCCTGGTTGGCAGTGCCAACGAGGGAGGTGGCCTGTGGTACTGCACGGTGTTCCCACAATGAATCTCAAAACAATGGAAATGCTGACAGGCTTCTGAAAACTCCTTCCTCCACCACCCTGCCGGGGACCGAAATCACCAACATCCCAAGACGGGAAACCCGCAGCAGTGCCAACACCACAGAAAAACACTCAAGCCCCTCAACACCAGGTCACCAGGGCTGCAAGCAAAAATATCCCAGTCAGCAGAAAACATTCACCTTCCCCTCCAGGCCAGGGAGGAACCCCTCCAGTAGGGGGTGCTCTAATGCATGGGCTGAAGTGCAGGGGTTTCCTCTAAAAAGTGGCCAAATAAGCCCCCCCCCCCCCCCCGGTCAATAACTTTTACCATTTTGCCATTGCTTGGTGCTAGTAGGGGGGGCCTCCGGCAACTAAAATAGCCTGTGGGCCACTAAACATGTTCACGAGCCTCTGCCTGCCAGCCTACCGGAAAACGCCCCCACCCCCACCAGCTGAATCATGCCACCCAGGCCCCCTCTATCCCCCCTCCCACTGCTACGCTGTTCGTAGATTATAGCAAATTCAGCGGCTCATCTAGGAGTACTTGTTGGCCATACATATACTGTATCACACAGCCTATGTGGGCTGGGGGGGGAGCATCCATGTCACTGAACATGACAAAGCTGGTCTGGTTTATGGTGCACTACTAAGCACTGGGGTGGTGAGTAGTGAAAATTGATGCCGATTTTCAGTGCCAGTCCATGGTTGATGGCCACTTGGGATAAGGGTTTGTTTGTTTTTGCCTTGTCTGATTTAAAGAAATAATAAGATCTCTCCACAAGTCACTGAGCATCTCAGGGGCCAGATTTCACACAAAGAAAACATCTGGTTCTTGGAAGTGACCGAGGCTTTGGGCTGGAGCCTTCGGAAAAGGGGAAGTGTGTTTTATTCATGCTCTGGTTTGGGATTTAAGGGAACAGAAGAGGAAACGGCAATAACGGTAAACAAGTTTCATCATGGACACTCTCGCTGTCCAGCACGCTCTTCACTGTGCCTGTCACGCGGGCGGCTTCTCTTTCTTTGTGATCGCTGTGGTCCTAGCTGGCCTCAGCGGCGTTTGTTTCCTGTGCCTCTGAGAGGGTCTCGCTGGTGCTGAAACACTTGCTAAATAATGTTCATTTATGTATTAATGCCACTTCCGACTGTTTGTTGCATGCTAGGTTCCAGGGAACACAAGGTGGCCGTGGAATGCCAATCCATCGCAGGCCACATAAAGGCACTCACACACCACGGGCAATGTAGAACAACCTGCAGACAGTACACATTTTTGGTCCCTCCCAGTCCTCGGTAGCAAAAATGTGGACTGTCTGGCAGGGAGCTGGGAGGTAGCGAAAATGTGAACTACATGTTTTTGGACTATGGAAGGAAGCCAGAGTACCTGGATAACAACCATGCAAATGGAGAGAGATCTATAATTTAACGATAGTAATGTGAAAAACAATAAGAAATCCAGCAGCTAAAACTCAGATATAATCTTTTTGTCTTAAAAGGCGAACATAAGGTTCACATCTGCGGCACATGCTCTCATTCTAACCCAATGCCTCCCGCGTGAGTGAGTTGGCCCCGTTCCGGTAGGTGGTGACTTTGGCTTTGGAGCAGGGCTCTCCAGTGTAAACACCAGCACAGAGGGAGGCTCTTTCTAATACCCTGAATGCACGGAGAGTGCTCGCATTCCAGCACGGTGACGCCGTCGTGTAGGAGAAGAGGCAGCGCGTCCTGCACCTCGCTCCTTTCTCCCCTGGCTTTGGGAGAGCTGTGCTGCTGTCTTATTTCACTATGGTAACTGGCAGAAATTTCAGAGTTAAAAGTGTTATGGGGCAATACTAAAGGCCTTATGCCACACAAATGAAAATGATGATTTATTAATAACAGCTGTTAGGATGCATCAAGAAAATATAGGTACACTGATGGTAGAGGCTGTGAAGCTGGGATGTGTAAATAACCTCACAGAAGCTCACAGTATCCTGATTACAGCTGCTCTGTAGCGTGAATCAAAACTTGTGAGCGTAAATGTACTTGGGGAAAGACAGTGAACCAAATACCTGAGAATGTAAATGGAGCTGGGAGGGAGAGTGAGAGAGTGAACAGTATCAGCTGATTCAGACTCTGGGTCACAGCCGATTGTTGTCAACATCTGCTTGGTTTCCTAACGCCACTCATGAGTCACACTTCTGAGAGACGGCAGTTCCTTGAAAAGCAGAGAGTGACGCTGATCAGAGAGGACTCCCCCACCCCCGTCGCACGCACACACACACACACGCACACACACACGCACACACACACACAGAGTCGTGTAATCATATCTTTTTGGGGACCATTCATTCATTTCTATGGGGAAAAAGCGTAATCCCAGCTATAACAACTGCAAGTAACCAAAGGAAATAAAAGCCGTTTTGTCACTTTTAGTATTTTGATTGCATTCACAGATGTTACAGAGGTTATCGTTGTCCCCGCACTTGGAGAAATTTGGTCCACACAAAAACATACAGACAATGACACACACAGGTTTGTAATTGTATCTTTTTGGGGAAAACCCTACTCCGTACAAGACAACCTTAACCCATACCCAGCCCTAACCTTAACCATAAGTAACTAAACTAAATATGAGACTTTTGGCATTTTTAGTTTTTTGATTCCATTAACAGATCTTTGTGAGGACCAGAGAAATCTAAGCCACACACACTTCTAACTGGACTTTACACATCACATTTGTCAGGTTTCACACAAATCTGTCTTTATAAGCAATACTAATGCTGGCAGGAGTGTTTATTATAAATTAAATAGCAAGCCCACTAATCCCAATACGCTCACAGCTACACCCACATTCCCTAGAAGGAATAAAATACATATTGTGAGTAGCACTTTGGTGATGTGAAGGCTGCTTCTGTGTTTCCCTTGCAAAAGGTTGGGATTCTTGTAATACCTCAGCTTTATCTAATATTATGTCACAGTAGTTTCCTAATGAATGTTCAACATGTCGAGGTACACATGCATGCTGCAGGTCAAACCACAAATCCTAAAAACACGGCAGTGAGGTCTGTGCCCCATAGCCTCCTCAGTATGACAAAGGCGCCGTCACATGGCAAGAAGCAGCACAAGGTGTTTCTGAGCAAACAATTACTCACCGCTTACAGGAAGCACGCGTGTGACAAAACCACTTGAGAAATGTTCTTTGTTTTTTTCAAAAATAAAGACATTTCAAAGCATGTGGCGGGTCATTAGTCAGGCGGGTGCTCCATCCTGTTAAAAAATTGCATTTAACGTTGTCGGGAAATGGACAATGCCTTGGGGTAAATGTTTAATGACACTTCTCTAAGAAATTCTGCGAATCGCAAGATCTTGCTCCTCTAACCAAAGATTTCTGATAGTCCCCATGAACAGGTCCAGATATAGGCAGGATGGGCAGCTGGCTAGTGGTGCCAAACTACCTGGGCTTTGGAGGAAGTGAAACAATCATCAATTTTCTCCCAAGTAAAGGCCTCTGAAATGGTAGAGCCAGGTCAGATTCCACTTCCCGTACCCTGTCTGCCTGTCAGCCAGAGGTGAAGAGTTCAAGTCCAAAAAGTAAAAATTCAGACCAAGGTTTCATTTCAACCAACCAGCTGAGCATGAAGTGTCACAGTCACAGAGTACTCAACTGGTTGTTTGAAACAAACGCCACTTTCCCACTGCCACCAGGAACCAAGCAGTACTCAACCCATACCGCGAACTGATGGTTTCCCATTACAAAGTAGTATCGCAAATAGCAATGCATTCCCGATAACTCGGAACTTAAAAATGTTCAACCTCCTACATAAAAAAGTACTGTGCAACAGTTGAATGGAATGGATTCGTAATGCAAATTTACACAAGTAAATGCTAATTCTAGTAGAGTTTGATGCTAACATAAGACGGCAATTATCACAGACTTGCTAACAGAAATGAACCCATAGTAAATCATGATGTACACTGTGTTTTACGTCTCACTCTTCAAACCCAGCAACGCCTTTACTGAGCAGACCCTTCTACACTGGAAAACCTACTGCAGCTGTAACTGATCTCTCTGTGAAGTACGGCCTGGGTATGGCTTACTTCCTGTATGCTCGTGGAAAAATGCCAAAAACCTTGGTCTGGATTTGTACCGTCTCAACCTGAACTTTTCACCTTTCCAGTGTGCCTTGCTGGTTCAGTACTAGGTCTCCACACGGGCCTGCACTCTTCAAATGGACTGCTCTCGCAATCAGGCACAAGCTTTCTGTCACACATAAACAGTGTAGACCACCTAAACATGCAGTTGCACAGACAGACCCACATTACACTAGATGGGCTTGCAGATAAAATTCTCACAGGTTTAGTCAGTCGTAATATTGGATTTTCACAACGGCTGTTGCACAAATTGTACATTGCTCAGTCGGGCAGGATTCTGTCAATAGTACAGTATCCAGGAAATACATTCTTAGTGTTGAGAAATCTATCCGGGCAATCATTACAGTGCTTAGCATTGTAGTGATGGGGAGTGATGTCATACATGTGGATAGGTAGTGGGTCCATTCTCAGACTGGGCAATGCTGCTCTGATTCCATCTACTGTGTTTATGGCATGCTTGCCATGGGATGTGAGTGTTCCAGCATGCGTCCCATGGGATATGAGTGTTCCAGCATGAGTCCCATGGGATGTGAGTGTTCCAGCATGCGTCCCATGGGATGTGAGTGTTCCAACATGTGCTCAGACAGTGCTGGATTAATGGTTAGGGTGCATAAGCCCAGAATTCAAAATTTATGCACTACACACTTCCAGTATGAGGTGAAACATGTGGCAAAATATGCAAAAGTTCCTAGATCCAGCACAAAGGCAACAAAGCAGTTTAAGAATGATTTACAGGATCCTACTTTTTACCTGGAAACGAGAGTATGCTGTTCCAAAACATGTTTGTACTGTGAAGCATACAGGAAAACAAAGTAGATTCATGAGGAAATATTCTGCAGAAAAAAACTGAAAATCCCAAATCTAACATAACAAACAGAAACTAGAACACAGAAGAAGAAGAAATGCAATGGTTATTTATTGTGATTGACAAAAATAAAAGAGATGATTGTCTTCAGTTTATCTGAAAGCCTTCCAAGGTCAGAAGCTACATTGCCATTAAACGCTCACCATAAAAATAAGGCGACGCATTTAGGGGTAACAACTAACACCCTCATGGCTTCCTCTCTGCTCCCTACATGATAGCGAAGTGACACCGAGAGCCAATCAGCCGGCCGGGGCAAGGACATGTGACACTGACCACACGATGGCCAGATCAATGGACTGATTTGCTACCCAGGGGAACTGGAAGACTGAACTTCATCATCTAATTGTAATTTCCTTTTCCTGTAACCACGCAGTGGGAATGGGATTTGTGTCGGGCCAAAAACTTATCCCAGGTAGTAGAGCATGAGGCTGGGGTTACGCCGGGCAGGAAGTCAGGCCCTCGCAGGGTACACGCGCACACACAGACACGCACAATGGAGTCCTGATTTAAGATCGTACACTATGGGCTGTTAAAGATTTCGATCCGCATGAGCCGTGTCTTCGGACCTTGACAGGAGATGCTAACGCCCAGCGGAACTAATGCACATGAGGGATTCCAATGAAACGTCACACAAACCTACAGGTATAAGGAAGACGGTCTTGATTTAATAACACCAAACACGTGTTAATTCACAGGTACACTGTTTACTAGGAAACTGACAATCTAGCGTGAATTGTGACTGACTTTCCACTGAAGGTGATTGGCACACATGTATTTAAAGTATCAGACCAGGCCTGTCTAGCACCTCCTGATCTGATAGTACTGCAGGTTGTGCAACGACTCTGAATGGTTTCCTATACCGCGGGCTTCCACAGAATCAGCATGCAAGCTGCACGGCTGCGCAGGTCTTTCTGCACATGCATGTTAGAATCTTTGCCCATTTCACTTTAGACACGTACCTCAGACTTTGTGCAGACGACGAGGATCATCACCTCTTTGTATTGTTTCCCCGTACAACAAAATATGACTTTTTATCATCTAAAACATTCTAGACTTATTTTTTAAATAGTCTTGTCCCTTATGTAAACCTCTAATTGTGGCCAACCCCCCCCCGGGATTGATATTGTGACTTTATATCTCCCCAGCTTTTTTTAAATTTATTTTTTAGATTTATTTTTTATCAGTAGCTGTCAAGGCCGGAGTCCCTTGCACTAGATTATAGCCTCGAACATTAGACCATGATTTGGTTTCAGGATAAATTAATGTTCAGTGTAATCAAGGCTTGAAATTAAGCTCGCCTTCTTGGCTGAAGCGGCAATTTACACTGGCCCAGTACAAAAAAAACAAACCAGTGCTAGCCTGTTGGCTAAAAAAAATGTGCATGTCAGACTGCATTTTTTACTGAATAGGGCCTCAGGATCTAATGAGCTCAGTTATCTCCATGGTTACGCAAGCAGCCATCATACACCATAGTACCAGTATAGGCCAGTAAACCCCAGCAAGCATGACCAGTCCTGTCCGGGATTCTCACACTCACAGTTTTTCCATCCTGCCCCGCCACTCTTTCCCAACCTCTGAAGGCCAAGGGTAGAATGAGCAAGAAAGAAAAATCCTATTCCAGTTTATCCATACAAATTTTACTCATGGCAGTCTTTGGAAACGGCACAGCTGTCCCTATGGATACGAAGCCAGCAGGCCAGTGAGTTGACAGTGTTCCGTTTCATAATCCAGAGTCAACAGCGGTGAAGTTCGCTCGCAGGTTCAGAAGGCGCCCTTATGCAAAGAACAAAGTCAAAGTCAAGAAAACAACAACATTCCACAAGCTTGTCTGTAGAAAAAACAACATACAATTCATGCTTATTTGTTTTCTTGACCTGCCTGAGTAGCCGTCTGCTTGCATACTCTTTTTATTATTACTATTTTTGGTAGTTGTTCTTTTTTCTTTGTGTTTTGTTTTGATGGCACTTTTGTTTTAGCACTGTACGGCACTAAGTGACCTCTTGTCTGTGAAAGGTGCTTCATCAATAAATTTTACTTGCTTATTTACTTACTTATTCCTAAGCGAACCTGCAAAATTACTGATATTTGTATTCCAGAGGAGAGCGGATTCTGTTGCCCAGGAAAACAGCAGTTTATCCTCTGAGGAAAAAAAACAATGAAAAACCACAATTTTTGTTTCACATTTGCCTGCTGCCTGATGACTTGTCTTGTTTGTTTTGGAAGTGTGCTGTGATATGCCTGTATTCTATGATCTTCATTATATGGATTATATTCAGGATGTATGGGTACGATACAGGATGGGTAGCATTGGATGGGTAGCACCAAGGTTTCGGGTTTGAATCCTGCCTCCTGGCTGGGTGTGGAGTTTGCATGTTCGCCGCATATTCTGCAGGTTTTGACCAGATCCTCTGGTTTCCTCCTGTAGGCCAAAGACATGCAATAAGGTTAACTGGCATCTCTGAACTAGTCAGAGTGAATGATTGTGTTTGCACGCTGTGTTACACTGTCATCCCATGAAGGATGTCCATCTGCTTTGTACACTAACCCCACATAGGTAAGATGAGTCTGAATCGGATTCCAGCCAAATGTTCTGAAATCGCCACAGATCCATGAACTGGATCTGGCCTGGCCCTAATCTGCACCTGGTCTAATTCTCTGTGTCTGTGGGCAGAAGGTTGCTGGTTCTAGTCCTGGCCTCAGCAGAGGGTGCTGTGTATTAGCTGACCCTGTACTGTGACCCCCCCCCCCCCAAGCTGCCGTGAGTAAGATGGAGGTCAGTGAAGAGAAGCATTCTGATGCACCAGTACTTATGCAAATAAAGAATGTTTGTTGAATGTGGCTCAGACTCCTTTTATATTCCAGGCTGACTACTGACCAGTTCTGCTCCAGGATCCTCCCTTAACCTCTGAAGCTGGTAAGTGGCTCAGTGGACTAAGCCTCTGTGTTTGTAAGCAGGTCACTGGTTCAAGCCCTGGCCCCAGTGGAGTGGTTGTACATCTGTGGGTCCTTGAATAAGGCCTTTAACCCCCACCTCTGGGGGTGTTGGCTGCCCCTGTGCTCTGAAACAAAGAAGTGGTTTTTAAAGTGTGTATACCAGCATCCTTAGTTATGATGCTGGAGCAGAACCTAAGTTTTTATTTGAACAGACAGTTACACTGGAATGCTTCTCTTCACCTACCCCATCTTACTCACCATGGCTCAGAGATCAGACAGCATGCAGCACCCCAGAGTCACTCACCAGCCACATATATTAAGGGAGGATCCTGGAGCCAAACTGCTCAGCAGACAAGAGTCTGAGCCACATTCAACAAAACAAACATGTGTTATTGGCACAAACACAGGTACATTGGGATGCTTCCCTTCACTGACCCCAACACACTTGGCATACCTTAGGGGAGGGAGGGGGGACAAAGACCAAGGGCAGGTAATACACAGGGTCTTCTGCTGAAGGTTTGAACCAGCAACTTTTGGATCACCAGCACAGAGCTACTGAGCCACTTACTGCCCCCATTTCAGCCACCTCTGAATTTAACTTTTGCCTGTGGTGCAGATACAGGCCAGATTTGGTAACATTCGACGTAAACCTAGCCCATATTTGGCCCTTATCTGTTTCAAATCCAAAAAGTGGACTCAGACCAGTTTTGATCTTTGGAACAGGTTATGCAAAAAGACACTGGGCCAGATCTGGTTTACGGATCTGCAGCAATTTCTGAACAACATTAAGCCTGGATTTGGTTCAGACTCATCTTGCTATGTGGGCTAATCCACCCGTCCATCCATCTTCTAACCCCTCTGGCTCTATGCAGGCCGGGTCACAGAGGCCAGAGCAAAGACTAAATGGACATATTACTTCTGGGCTGAAATTACTGCCACTACGGACCTGACTCCAATAAAGCATGAACAAATAAAGCATGTGGCAGCACAGTAGGTACAATGATGGCTTTAAACTTCTAAAGTTGTGGCCTGTTTGCACTGTATGTACATGTATAGTGGTTAATTCATAAAGTAAAGTTTTTATTTATACTTCAACATCACGTTAAAATGATGTTCAAATAATAATGTTATTGCGCTAACATTGACAGCGCCTTTGTTAAAACGTAAAATGTGTAAACAAAGTTCCATTAACGTTACAGTAGGAATGTTCTCTGCCAACTTTGAGGACACCTCTATACAGTGTTAACTGAAATTCCTGGAATGTTCCCTGTCAGCTGGGAGAAAACAAGCTCGATAGTTATTTGGAAAAGTTCGCCATTATGGGCAGCTTGGCGGTTCTGTGGTTAACGCTGTAGCCTGCAGGCTTAATGTTCTCTCTGTGTTTCTGCGGGTTTCCTCCATCAGTTAAAAACATGCAGTTTTGAGGATATTGTGTCTTTTTTTGCATAAACCAGCTTCCTATCCAGGATGTTCTGTGCATTATGCCCCATGCTCACCAGGACCGTGTACTAGATAGGAGTGTATTGCGTTGTAACTCGATCAATAGGGATAGCACATCTGTGGTCATTTTCCGGATGGTCTTGGTATAGTTCTGTCTGTTGCTTGTAAATATTACAAACGTTAATGTCCGGGAAAAAAGCGAGAGATTTCGTTAGAACATGGTCATATTGCGCTATTAAGATTTGGAATGAAGATTACACCACACGATCCTTTACATTTAATATGTAGTCGTTATAATGTGATAAGCCGTTAAAACGCGAGCAGGGAATAATATTATAATTCGTCAACCGGCATCCTGTAGCCTATATCTCATATTCTGCATGTGGAAGTGTTATGCTTTCTGCCGGAAGGCGATATATTAATTTCTTTTGTGCAAGTAAAAGTGTTTTGAAAACAATCATAAGCTCCCACAGAGGAGTCATTCTGCAGGTCGACTGCCAAGCGTTTTTTTTTATATTCTGTCGCAACAATTACCCAGTCGTCCAAAACTTTTTGAAAAATTATCAATGTAGTATGATTTGCAAGAATTTGTTTCGCAAAACTTTTACAATTTAAACCTCCACGTTATTTCTCGTTACCTGTGTTTATACTGTAATATCGAAGACTGTACTGCTGCTAGGAAACCATTCAGGAATTTGAGTGTACTGTTTCGTTTCTATGGAGACAATACGCCTCTAGCTTTGCGACATGCTGTGACGTATTTGGGTGCGTAGCTACTAGCGTAGTGCTGGAGATGATGTAAACCTAGTTTCTATGGTAGCCGTGTGTTTTCATTAAATATAGCCTAGTTGAGCTTTTTCGTTTTGCCAAAAGGAATCATGTGTACGTATCTGTGTTTTGCTTTATTAATGTTCCAATTACCTAGCTATTTATCTACTTTTAATTTTTATTTCTAGCCAACAATTAGTTATTATCCATAGTACGAAGACAGCAAAGCTTTCTGTATGTTTTTGCCCGTACTACGAACTGTTCCTTGGCAGTCACTCTTTCGCTATGGATCAGAATCCTCCAATATACTACAAGCGAAATAAATGTGCAACTAATGAAATTTGCATAGCATGAGTAACTAGCAAGGACTCGAGGCACGAGTCTTAAATAGTACCACTCTGTTTGTTAATGGAGAATGAAAACTGAATGGGTAAAAATGATTGTGTATCGGAAACTCCAGGCTCATCGGGAGCATGTAGGTGGGTTTATTGAATCCGAAGGATTAAACTACTTGTTACAGTACCGAATTACTACATGTAGGCCTAGTTTGTAGGACGTTAATACGCAGTGTGTAGCGGATATGGAATTAGTGCTACGTGCTACGCCGCTTTAAATGCGCCGAAGAGTTGTTTTACCCGTTTTCTTTATCTTTTTAAAGTTTACATTACAAGGCGTAAAAGTAATTAAACCGATCAAGGCTAACCACACATACAACCTTTCAACTTGCCTTCAGATATCAGTAGTTCTCTGGACCAATCCATCACCATATTACGAATTAGAATTCCTGCGTGTGTTTGGGAAATACGCTACAGTCATAGACCCAGAGATGTGAAATACTGGCATTGGTGGAGTGCACGAGGGGGTGCTATTCTGGTAAAGCAGATTTGCCAAGGATGCATCATTAGAGGAGGGCTGAGTATTAGACAGCTGAAGATTCTGTTAATTTGGTTTACTGCACATTCCTTACTGTCAGATCATCGGCAGTGATGAAGCGTCGGTTCACATTACCGGGAAAGGATGAATAGTGTATGCAGTATGCAGCACTGCTGGGAGGACACCTATTGTCACAAGTCACCGCTATTACAGGAAACACCATGTTTTTTTCCCTGTCACTTTTACGCTTAACTCATTTTTCCCCATCATTGCTGAATTTTTAACATGCACGCCGCCCTTCATAGTTACTGCATTGTTTAGTCCTCACACATCAGCTGGGAAATTTTCAATGCCCGAAATTAACTTCCAGTTAACTTCTAATAAAAGCAACCATCCAACTCACTTGTTTGCCTGAACTGTAAACAACCAGTCCTTGAGACCAGCTTAATTTAGGCAAACAGGGAGAGCATTGAAATTGAGAGATGGAGGCAACACGAGAAGGACGGGCGTGCATCATATGATATTTGGAGGGACGCTCCTTCCCACAAATCGCCGTTGCGTCATCTTCCGAAAAGTTAGCGCAGGCACATCCAGAAGGAACCTCACAAGAGTCCAGAACTGCTGCTAGTACGACTTCGGGTCGCCGTTCCAGAGAAACAGCATGCTTAACATTCTTTTGTGTTAGCCTGCGTAACCTGTGAGACTATCTTCATCGTAACACAGATTCCACTCATTGGTTTAGCAACTCTATTTAACTATCGAACAGCTCTACTGTTTCGGAATACTTCTATTCCAACAAACCAAGATACAATCTAATTCTGAATAGGGGAAAAGAAACCAAGAGGGCTGTTTAGAAATCAAAATAAGGAAGTTAAAGATAAAAATCACCTAAATGTCCTGAAGAGCACACACTTATTTAGAATTATAAATCGCCCTTAAACTTGAATTTAGCTATTTGATTACAGATTTTAAACTGATGACTCATAAATGTTGCACAAAAGAAAACAAGTAACCAAAATAGTTGATACATGTTTTTAATGTTAATAAACTGCATACCATGCTTGTAACACCGCATTAAATGCCCCACCATGACATTTCTGTACAAGTCCTGGCAGTTACTGGAACAGGATCTTTGGACATTCAAGCATTGTCTGTCTTAATGTGTATGTCATTTATACAACAACATGAAGGAATGAAGATGCGATTCTCCTTCCACTTTAAAATGAAACATCCTCAGTGCTGAGGTTGAGCCAAGAGGTGATATTATAGAGTGTGAATGACTGTGTGCCGCCCCCCCCCCCCAAACCCTATATGTCTGGCGACTTTTTAAAAATCATCCACTGAGTACAGGATTGATTATGCATCACAGAAATGGAGCTTGTAGTCCAAAGCTGTCTGTCACTCAGAGAGTTTCTCTCTCTACTCAGAGCTGGTCATATGTAGCTTCTCAGACAAGGAAATGAGTACAAGCACATTTGCACCTTATTGTGAGATTATGGAGTTCACAATAACAGGCTGCAATAAACTGGCTTAAATGAGTTTGAGTTTCACACACGAGCTGCTGAAAGACAAGCTCTGTTTAGTCTGTAGTTCCAGGCTGGTGACAGGTAATTTGAAGGGGCGTTTCTTAAAGACAGGAACATAGCATTCCAGCACTCTGTGTTCCAGGGAACAGTTACTTAAGAGAGATGGATTCGATAGAGAGAAATGACTCAGTCTGCAGATGATCTGACTGCTGATGTTAATGGTGGATTGAAGATGTAAGCTGAGAATGTCCCAGCGATTCTGTAAACGCAGCCAAAAGCTAGTTACGCACACAGTCTCACTGTGGCCTGATTGGGCAACCGTTGCACTTAACCCCCAACCCCCCCCCCCCACACAGAGAACTTCCTGCCAGGAAGCCAAGCATGGAAATTAACCCCAGGAATTATCAACAATGCAAATGACAGCCATGTAAACTGTCCCGTTTAGGGCCTGCGGCATTTGAGGTTGCTGTGACATCATAAACAATCTCATTCTATGGCGTCAGTGTTCCGTGAACTCTGGGAATCACCTCTGTACAGATGGAAATCGGAATGCTGTTCCTTCAAAACAGTAAAAAAAAAACAAAGGCTCACTGTTTATAAACCCATTTCCGAATGAAGGCCAGAGTTCAGGGATGGAGACTTGTGGAGATGGCAGCTGGAGGCTGAACCCAGTGGCAGTAGTTCACAAAAAACTGGACAATCTAGTTATACCATCAGGAAAGATATCCCCCCCCCCCCGCTTTCACTCTCAGTGGTGGGTGACGCCACCGTGCCTTACAACGTGACTTATTGAGCGTGGGATGGATTGACGTTTCAGGGGAACAAGCCCCTGGCAAAACACCATATGTGAAAACTCCTGCTTACAGACCGCATGCAAAGTTACACTGTATATGTAAATGCAGGATTCTGGCTAGGGCCTGATGCCGGTGTGCAGAGTGTTCAGATCCCTCCGTCGTCCCTCTATGTTGTCCTGTTGTTTGTTCTTGTAAAAAAAAAAAAAAAAGTTGAAAAACTCCCGGAACCTGGTTTCGACTTGGCATGTGGCGTCACCCACGCTGCCGGGGCTCCTGGTTACCGTGGTGATTTTCTGGTAGTTTCTCAGTCTGGATGGGGCCACGCACCGCGATGGTGTCTGATTTCAGTTTCGCGGGACCGCTGCAGCTGTTTACCAGCGCCCCTAAAATACATGAACCCACTCACCCGGATATTGCCCACATCCCCTCTACAGGGAAAGCCTGGGGACTCTCTGTTTGTGGCCCAAAGTGGGGCACGCGTTTGTGCCTGGTGCTGAGGATGACGACAGCAGACTGTGAGAGCGCTGCCCTGGCCCTCAGTCAAGCAGGGGGTCACTCTGCCTTGCAATGTTTAACACAATCCCTGCCACTGCTTTGCTTTCATGCGCCATTCTTCTCAGTAAATATTTTTTTTCGTCTGGTGCTGGTAAGTGGGCTGGCGACACTGTAAGGAATTTCTCTGTAATTAGCTCCTGTATTAGGACAAAAATACCTACGGTATCACAGTCAGAGGCGAAGATGTAGAAGTGGGCGGGGACAGCGGGACCAGGATAACACAGCCAATCAGAGCGAATGGTGAAACACCAGCTGAGCTAATACGTTCCGTGCACTTGGGTGACTCATTACGTTTTACTCTAACTGCACCTTTGGAAATGGGAACACCCTCTGAAACAAGCTTTAGAGAATTACTCAAAAAGAGAACTGGGAGCTGAAAGAGAAATGAGTCGTGTGTGGGTTACAATTCCAGAGAGCTACTCTCTCACTCCTAATGCTAGTATTTCGTCCTAATGAAAAGAAGCCCCACGACAGACTCTGGGTTGTAAGAGCAGTCCTGATTGGTCATCCACCAGGATGCATGACTAGTTTTGATTTGACCTTGTTTAAGGCTACTCCAATCCTCAGGTGAAAGTCTTACAAAACCCACACACACAGCCTGTCTGACCAGGCTGGAAAAAGCTGACAGTGTGTGAGGTGAACCGTTTACTGTAATCTGTCTCACCACGTCATTTCTGTGTGCCAAGTCACATGGGACACGGTTCCCCCACTTCCCCCACTGACCCTGTAAAAGCGCTCGACGTTAGGGAGAGTGCCAGCTCACACACATGGCATCTCTAGCAATCGTGTGTTTACATTACGGGCCAATTTGGAGAAGATGTCACAGCTTATGCAAGGTGCCACGAGCTACGCCTGGGAAGACTTTGGGTGCTGGGCCAGCCCCCACCGAATCACCCCCACCCTCAGGAGGGCATCTGGAGTTCGTCGACTGCATAGAGGAGCTGTGGCTGTCGCCGCGGCAACGCCCACTTGTGGAAACAATGGGAGGTGTTCTGTGGCCCCTTTCGCATCTGTTCACTCGGGCTGCACTTTTTCCCAAAAGCTTGGCAAATTTGACATTGCGAAACAAAAAATAAATTACCCAGCGTGACTGGAACCTGCTGGAACCTGGCCTCTTCTTAAGCTCAGCCGCTCAGAGCACTTCTCATTGGCCAACTCTAATTAGTTGCTCCAAATAAGCCAAATTTTCACCTGTTTGGGTGGAGACCATGAGATACCTTTAATATAATGTGTCAGTTAATAAACAACAGGCAGTTATTTAACCTCAGTAACAGAGCCATCATATTTGTGAAGTCTGATTCCAATATACTGATATATGCAGCTTCTGTAATGTCATGTGTAAACAAACGTGCCGGGAAATTGGAAAGATGGCCCCCTGCCCCGGAATCACTGTGAAGGACAGCCTAGTAATTAGCCTAGTATGGGTGAGATTTATATCGGTACTGCACACTTAGCTGAATAAGTATTTCATAGGTCAGGGCAAAACACCTGCATTCGAATAATACTATTCATCTTATTTTTAGTTTCACTGCACACTCTAAAATCTCCACCATTGTGTGATTTAATAACTCCCCTTTGTCTTAGGTCACACACACCCAGAGAGAGAGAAAATATATTTCATATTTAGCAGTTCAACTGAAGTAACACTCCATGAAATCAGATAAGGATGTTAGTGTATGAGCTTTCCTCAGAAGAGCTTTGGTTAGAGGCTATGTCTGAAGGCACTTCCATGGAAACCCAGCTCGGGGGAGGCGGGGCTACCCTTTCTGTCAGCCGCAGAGAACTCACAGACCGGCAGGCAGGCGGTCGGGCGAACGGACTGGCACTGGTTGGACAGCGGGTCACATCGGCCTTTCGTGCACCATCCTATGCATTCAAACTATTTCTTCAGCTCCTGATTCTCAAATAAATGCACAGAGGAAGCCATTAATGCAGTCTTTAAGAGCTTTGAACCATTTTAATATTAACAAGTCTGTCAATAGTGTGCAGAAGCAATGTAAATAAACTGCAAGCACTGGAATGGAAAGTAAAACTGGCATCTTGGTGTGATCATGCGTTTGGAACTAATGATTTGTGGTAAACTCTGGGATTTCCATTCACTGGCTTGTGTCTGAGTTAGCGTAGAATTTTCAACTATTATTATTTTATTGGACGTCAAAGAAAACATCCACATTCAGCACATTATTTTTTGAAAAAGTTTTATTGAGTAAAGATTTTCATAAAACTACCTATTTTTCAAACTGTTCAGGTTACATGTCCTTCATAAAGGGACAGTTTGGAAATAAATGCATCTCAGACTACCCTGAAATCAGTCGCTGTTCCTGGAGCTGTGCATGTCTGTGGTCCTGGGAGATCCTGGTCTGGAGTATCAGTCCAAAAGTCCTGGTCACACGGAAGAAACAATTTTGAAAATAAAAGTTTCCAGTAACCACCATGACAGCCCAGCTGACCCAGAGTTCACACCTATATTCAACACACAATGATAAACGCCAGGCTTCCCGGCACAGTTGGCTCACTGCCATCTTCACGCCAAACACCTGCTTTGGAAAGCAATGTACTTTCGGGATGCGATCCTCCCCTCCCCAGTGTCCCCCTCCCCAGTGTCCCCCTCCCCACACAGTGTCACAGTGACTATACAACAAAACCACCTGCACAAATAATAAACAGCTGGGAATCTCATTCTGAGGGAAACAAGAAAATTGGCAGAAACCCGAAAATGGGTATCAGTATTCAGTAGGCACAGATAGTGTGCAATGCTGTACCAGAGAACGCACACACACACACACACACACACACACACAGACAGACAGACACACACAGACACACACACACACAGACAGACAGACAGACAGACACACACACACACACACACACACACACACAGACAGACACACACACACACAGACACACACACACACAGACAGACAGACACACACAGACACACAGACAGACAGACAGACACACACACACACAGACACACACACACACACACACACACAAACACACACACAGACCTTGATACAAGTTATATAGAAAGCTTGCTGCATTCCATTCCTGTTAGATCTGCCATAATAATAAAAGAATTATAAAGTCACTGACCAACACAAAGGAGCTGAGTAGGCTTTGCACGCTTCACTGACAGTAGAAGGCTAAGCTGGTTGGAGACTGGGGGGGTTGTGATTTTTTTGTGCTCCCCCAGGCACAATGAGGCTGAAAAACCATGCTTTTTCTAAAAACGAGGTCTGTGGGGACGACTCTTCTGGAAGGTTCACGAGCCGTGTGGCCAAACGCTAGCGAGTTCCCTGTGAGAAATGACCAAGGCGGCTTTTGGCGCCCCCTCAGACTCCTGAGGTGACCCCCCAGGCCCACGGCGGCGTCCCATCAGACAGGGAAACAGGCATGAGTGCTCGTATTCTGAGCCAGACACCTAAGTGAAAGGACCACCTTGGCTTCCGCAAAAAAAGCATCACCATGCCAGTGTCACCTTAACAGCTGCCATCAGACAATGACCTAATACCTCTGTGAGGGAAGCCTCCAAACTGGCCTGCTGAAGGAGCATGTTGCCATTCCCAGGCAACGCGAGGGCAGGCCTCAGGAGTTACCGTGTGTGGATGTGCATGAGCCAAGTCCTCCGTCTCTTTTCTCATTATTTCCTCACCCCACTTCTGTGGCCTCTCCAGTTTTCCACCCAAGGATTCTGTTTGCCTCAGCTCTGCCCCTTTCCATAGTCCATCTTTGGAAAGCAGTGCCTTTGACTAGCTCTCTAACCATCACCACAGTCCTGTCCGTGGCGACCATTATCAACTGGGAATGTTGTTGACGTTTGATGTCACAGACAGGCATGGAGGTGCCTGAGCATGAGAACCATACTGAAGAAAAAGGGTAGTTTTTACTACACAGCCATTGGGGGTCTGGGGGTGCAGTAGTGGTGAGTGGCCTCCGGATCCACATCGTCTGGTATAAAGTCCAGCTCCACACCGCTGCACTATTTGTTTACCTAACTTTTAAATAAAAAGACATTTTAGGTGCCGAGAATTGTGGAATGTGATATCCTGGGGAGGGGGCTGGTGCTGCTCCTCCTATAGAGCCTGTGTGCGACTGAGGTACCTTCCTTCCACAGGTGGAACACGGCACACTCCGTTCCTGGAACAACACACACCTGCACGCTATCACAATCTGCGCTCCAGCAGCGACATTTGAAGGCTGTTATTTGTAATGGATTCAAACACTAAACTGATACCAGTTGCCCAACAGTACAAAATTGTCTCTTGTGTTTATCTGACTTTTTCATGGTTCTCATCAAATCTGTGGAATATATATAGAAATGTCAATTTCTTGACACATTCCTAACATCATTAACCCAGAATAATTCAGTCAGATTCATACTCTTCCAATCAGACTGCTACGTAAATCGAACAGAATAGTATCATGTGCATTGTGGAAGTTTCCATAGTTTTTGAAACTATTTCGCAAATGAGTAACAGAAGCTTCTGTTATTTAATTAGAAGCTATAGGGGAAAAAAAATAAAAATCACACGCATAGGTTTAATTAAAGGCTCCTGGGGAATTCGCACACACACACACATTAGAGGCTCTTGGGGGATTCACATGCATAATTGAAAGGTTATTATAGAATTCACAGACAGACACATTCAATTAGAGATTCTGGGGGAATTCACATATTAGGGATTTGTGCAGTACAGATTATGGTTGGGTTGCTTGTATTTTGCAGGCAACCATCTAGAATTTCTTTACAAAAAGAATTTTGGGGAAAGACTTTAAAGTTACTTCAGTTGCTCCACGATTTTTTCCCCCCCTCGAGGGTAAACAAAGTGCACATCGGTGTGAATGTTAATGAGGTATCGATTCCTAAGCATGTGTATGACCTGAAGATCTGAATGGTAACATATGGACCAAATGCTTTATGAACCTGAAATCAGCCTAAACAAGGGGTAGGGTTTGGAAATTTCAGTTCTTTTCTTAGGTAAAGGGAGGAATAGAAATATTACACAGTTTTCCCATTTTATACCACCTGGTCAACTTATGTTAAGGGATCTCAACTCAGCACACAAACCACAGACAGTTTTCACTTGGTAAAAAATAGGTCTTTAATATAAATTACTGAAAACATCATAAATATAAATAATGTGCAAAGTTTTCATTTTGTTTCTTTCATATCTTCACATGTGTAAAATGCCAGGTCAGCTGGCCCCACATTTGAACATAGTTAAGATAGATCTCTCCAATCTGGACATGTTCTATAAACCAGGTGAGGAGTCCTATTCGAGGGGCAGACCTGTCACTCAATGGAGGAAGATAACAGATCTGCCTTATCCCGCAGAGACATCTTCAAAAGGTCCGTTTCTCCTGTGGTCACAGGATACAGCACCAGAGTGGCCTTCATGTCTGAATCTGGACCACCTGGGACCACAGAGTGCACCCATCAAGTCAGATCTTGGGAAAAAAAAAAAGTCACTCTTCAATCCGCTCTTCTAAACACAGGGTTTTGGCACGGAGGAGCAGCCTTTTAAACCGCTGTGAAGAGCGACGCCACTGTCTGCTTCAGGGTGTGTTTGACTCCCCACAGTACATGCTCACGCGTTACTGGCTGCATATTGCCAGAAGGCAGTGGACTTCTATGCAGTCTAGTCACATATTAATCCATGTGGCAGTTTCCTGGCACTGCGGCCGGGAAACACGTCCCATGAGTGTCACGTTCCCAGTTGATCTGTAGGCATCACCCTCACCCAGTACCCGAGTCCCTCCATTTTCTTGGCAGGAAACGGCGGAAGCACCAGTCATCACATACGGGAAGGTCGGCATTTCTTGCCCGGAGCACCGACAAACCCGAAATCTCAAAGGGTGGAGATTGTCGCTTTTCACGCCCGAGGGATTAGCAGCAGAGTCCAACTCAATACACGATAGAACCGGCTGTTCCCAAGGCGGCTTCGGGGGGGGCTCTTAATCACCACCCACCAACTATCACCAGCTGTTGGCCTCCATCTGCCCTTCCCCCCCATCATCTTAAGGCTCTTGTCTCAGGCCCACCGGGACGAGACAGCCAGCTTTGGGCCCCAACGGTAAGCCCGTCACCCAGGACCGACCGATCAGATCCTGAGAACCACCTGGATAGAGCAGCAGTCCAGGAAGACTAGATGGAGGAGTCGTATTTCTCAAGGAATTCCTTGACTGGTCTGGGCAGCAGATCCCTCTTGTCAGACATGTCCAGGTGGCCGTTGACGGCCTTGCGGCACAGGTGCTGCAGCGTGGACATGCTGGAGGACAGGGGTCGCAGCAGTTCCAGGGGGATCTTCTCACCCCCGGTGTGGATGAAGTAGACGCCACACATGCCCCCCTTGCCGTCTGCCACCTTGGCAGGCATGTAGTGATGCACTAGCTTGAGCACGCAGTTGAAATGTGGTGCCGTGGACGAGCCCCTCGGGTCTGCTTGCAGGAAGAAGGAGTTGCCGTCACATTGGATGCGCAGGTTCTTTGGGCCAAACGCGGTCTTGATGCTCAGGGCGAAGAAGTGGCGCCGGTCTGAACTGTCCCTCACCAGGAAGGTGCCCACAGGCTCCTCGCTGAGCAGACTGTTGGCCTCCTTGCCACTTATGGCTCCCCAGTAGAAGCCACTCTCCTGAAGCTTGCAAACGGTGCCGATGACCAGCTGGTACTGCAGTTGGGAGCTAAAGATCTTGTAGTGGTGGGGGGTGAGCCTGGCACCGGCATCGAGCAGGGTGCTGGACATCATGGGCTCAAACTTACTTTGGGTTACCATGGCGCTGGGTGCACAGGTTCGACAACGGGGGTTAAACGCCCTCGACAAGGCAGGTAAAGCTTCTTGTGCAGCCTTTCCCGTCAGCACATCTGGAACACTTTCACTAGGATCTGAGGCAGCTGGAGAGAACACTGGAAAGAAAGAGAGAGAGAAAGAAAAAAAAAATTAGCTTCAGATGTCAGGCAACTTCAGAGCAGAAAAAGACTTGGCAGCCTTCTTTTTTCTTCAAAAAAAAAAAAAAATTTATAAGAAAATACATATGGGAGGAAAAAACTGTTTTGAGAGGTGTGAAAAAAGCATTTTCCCCCCAAACATATTTGATTATTCGCAAACCGAAGTCACCCTGTCACAGATGCTGAAGTTTAGCAACAGTCACTGGAAAACTAAGCTATCACTTGGGACTTTCACAGCCAGCTCATTAAATTAAAAAGGCTATTTTAAAAATAACCCGTCTGCGTTACAGATTAACAGTTAAAGAAAGCCTCTTTAACTCTGAAAGTCATTTTCGGTAGAGGACAGTCCCTGATAAGAGGACAGCCTTCCTGAGAAATTTACTTCACATCGAGTACTTTTCAGCAGACTGACCCTATTATTATTTAACCCAGTTCGGGGAACCATATCGTAGACCAGACACTAGTCCACTGACAAAAAAATGCAATATCGTAGCCCTTTGTACAAGTCCTGCGAAAACTGTACCAAAAGCGGTCAGAATACCTATCCAGGAATACAATCCAACCAAACATAAAATAATCAAAAATCGTGTTCCCGTACTGCAAATTCAGCTCGCATTTCGTCTCTTTTCAGGCACGAAGCAGCCAACAATAACTAGTATTCCGATCAACAATAGACAATTACCTTGAGGTCGTGTGCGGCTTGCTTTTTTCTCGTTGCTTTCCTCTAATCAATGAGTTCAGCGTGTTTAATGCTGTAATCCACGACTCACTGCTCGCGAGCTGCGTCTGTTGAAGTCCCAGCGCTCTTCGCCACCACTGTATTTATATGGTGCGGAGCTCCGCCCTCGCTGCTTTTCCAGTAACATACGACTTCACTAACATCGCTTCTGGTAACGGCAGTGTAATCGGGTTTTATGAACACACACTCACATGCATGCACACGCCTAGAAGCAATCGTGATTTTTTTCCCCCTCTGTCTTTCTTCCTTTAGGAAACCATTCCTGGTAGTCGTGGAAGAGGAATAGTGACTTGTTTTTTTCCCCTCGTATATCAAACGGCAAAACAAAAACATTAACTAAGTTTCCCAGGTCAAATAGATATTCTTTATGATAAAAAAAATGCAGCTCATGATATATTATCTCAAAACATGAATTTAAGAAATAAGCTTTTCGGTGTGTTACGCGTGCCCGTAGACTGGAAGCACGCCACCTGCTGGCTTTTATTTCATTATACGTGGAATGCTCATAGGTAGTATTGAAAACGTCTTCATCTTGGGTGTTGTGTGTTTTGCTTTAAAAACAATACGTATGCTACGTTACTCACCAAAAAGCGCAGTATCTTATCGGTAGATCCGTTTCATGTGTTACGTTGAACTTTATTTTTCTTTTTAACACAATCACGCTGATAATCCACATAACAATCACATGAAAAATAGAACTGCTATCTCACCGTGAGATAAAGGTCCCGTCTAAATATCCTTTCGAAATTTATGATTGCGATGCAATAATTAATGTCAGTTGAAATATCAATGAAACACACAAATTAAGAAATTAACTAATTAAATCCACAAAAAAGTATTTTAAATTCACAGGGTAAACTAGTTTACAGTTTTGTAGTGGTTCATGTTCCGTTGGGTCCTATTAATGTTTTGTATTATTAAAATGATTACAAATAAATTAAAAGTGGCCTCTTTAAGGTAATTACTAAAGGCGATTGTTTGAAATCGGCCAACCAGCAGATGTCATTGGGCAATTCAGTTACACAATAGTTCCTCCCTATGGTTTCCAATGAATGGATGACCGACTGATCAGGAGTAAGAATTAACTGATAGTCAAAGTTTTACACTCATCAGTTCCAAGTCCCAAGGGAAATACTTAGGAGATCTTTTTTAAAAATTCCTCCGAGGCCCGTAAGTAAAAAAAAAAAAAATAAAAAAAAAAATACATAATTGATCTGTGGTATGTATGCATTTACAGTGTTAACTTCTCCTTTCAGACAGAACTAGATAAAAGCAAAACTCCCTAATTTGTAAGGCACATACAGAGGACAAAAATGCTTCCATTAGAACCTTAAGGTTTTGCTTTGCTGACCCAGAATTTATGGGCAGGATTTAAAAGTTTCAATCAGGACATATTTCAGTGTTTGTAGAAATCGTCCTGATCCCAGGCCGCAGCCTTTAGAACCGGATCGGTGAGGCTGCGTATTGTCCATCCCTCGATGTCACTCCAAGCAAACGGGGACAGCATAGCCGCAGTGTGACGCGACGGCCCTCCTTTATAGCGCACCATTTCAGTCATGATGCATGTTCTCCACCTTCATGAGGAGACCAAAGTCAGGCTCACCTTCTCCCACCACTCAGTGTCTCTCCAGGAGGGATGATTCAGGTATCAGCTGTGGCCCACATGCAGGTGTGTGTGGGGGTTGCACTCAGGATGTTGGGTGATTCCTGAAACACGCCCAGGCATGACTGCACCGGGGAACATCGGACAAAGCTTTCATGTTTTCATGTGGTTGGATGCCACCAGCTAATGTTGGATAAGGCCTATTTTGCAGAATGAGTTGGCT